GCTCTGTCTGTGTAGGACCCTTGGGTAGCCTATCGTTTTGCAAGCAGCTGGAAGGGGTAATATAAAGACTATGAACAGAAGACCGTCATGATCGTCGTAAGAATGAAAGGGTGAAATAGAAATGGGATGATCCTCCTCCGGGTGTCCGTGTCCGTCCGTCTGTCCGTCCGTTGTATGAAGAAAGCTGTGCGTGTAAATGGCCGCGAGAATACCTTGCGTAGGTTAAGGAGCGTGATGGATGTGATCTGAGGACGGGTACCTCATCAGCAAACCGTATATTGATATGGTAGCTAATAGCTCATATAGGTACTAACCGTCAAAGAACACTGTTGAACTAGACCGCCACCATGGTGGTCGCGCCCGGACCCTGTAGCCAGTCATGCACGAAAGGGGATCCCCGGCCCACAGGTGAGAGCGGCGAGAAGATCTCATCGTGCTCAATGGAACTGGGGAACTCGTGTGCAGCATGTGCAAGCTGCGAGGCTTCTCCCTGAACAAGGAAGAAGTGCAGGCTCGGGCCCGTCGTGGGACTGAGAGTAGTTTCCATCTGACACTGCGTCTTGCCGGGACCCTCGGCACACGATCGAGAGTCGACGTAAGACGTGCTCCAGACGCTCTCTGTGTATGGAGGAGGGGTCGACGGTAGAGACTGGTCGAGCCTGGTTGGCGAAGGGAGCTCGTCCCAGTCCTCTTCGTCATCCAAGAAGGAGAAGCCCTCGTCCAGAGAAAGGTAGTCGTTGACATAGTTCTCGGAGTACCACTCCTCGTTGATGGTAGACTGGTAGACGGGTGCACGAGGCGTCCAGTCTAAAGACAGGGTTTGCCCGTTCTGGGAGTCCTGCTGGGGCGCAACATTGTCATACGCGGTCCAGCCATCATCGGGAGGTGGCTCGGCGATGACAATGTGTGGCACTGTACAAGGCATACGCGAGTCAAGAACGGTAACACCACGGAATTGGCTCATCCAAGCTAGCAAGGGTTCGGCAGCGTCCGTCCATTTCAATGGCTGTGGCTGAAGAGCGGCGATCAGCGCTGCACTGGGCGCGCGAAGCATCTTTGAAGCCTTGCGAGCAGTCAGAAATGCCTGTTTGAACGTGTCAGAGCTTGGAAGCAAAGTCAATACGCGTGACGACGTACACAAGCGCGGTACGTGTACTGGCACGCCCATTGATCCATCGGCTTACGAGGAGACGGGAGCTGAAACGACTAAACGGGACATCAATACGCAGTTGTAACTCGGAAGACGTCTACAACGCACCTTGCTAGCACGCGTCAGCATCGGCTTCTCCGACACTGCCTGCACAGATTCGGCGGTTGCTTCTCCGGGAGCGGGCAGCGTCTGAGAAATCAAGTATCCCATCGGCTTGTCATTCACAGCCAACTGCGCGTGACTCTGGTAGGGCGTCGCATTGTCTTCGACCGCGTACGTGTCGGTCTCCTGGTACGCAGGCGGCGTGATGACGATGTGCGGGGCACGACGAGAGCCACTCTCGGAATGCAGAACCAAGTTCAACGGATCGCGGCACAGGTTACGGAAGTAAGGCTGCGGTTGTGTGCCGCCGGTCAGCGGGGGCCCTGATTGAGAAATGATGGAGGGGTATGGCGTACGTTTGGAGGAGATGCAACCACCGGGCTCTTCTGCTTCTTAGATGCGACGGGCGCTATCAGTGCAGCGCTAGCTGACAATGAAAGTGAAAGCGCAGGCTTCTGCGGTAGGGTCAGTGTCATTGTACTCAGTTTGAACACAGCTTGACGCACCCTGCTGTGTTTACGCGCAGATTGAGGTATAGGCTTGACGGTGACGTCTTCCGTGTCACCGTACAGTGCGAAGATATCCTCGAGGGTTTGCGACCTGGAGGGCCGAGTAGGGCGTACAGGCGTCTGTACAGAGATCAGGCAAGTCACGCGATCAACGTTCGAATTCAACATACCGATGCATTCTGCGGGTCGACACGCTGGTAATCGGGCGGTGGCGTCACTGTCCGTTCAACAGCCTTCTCAACTGGAGGAGACACGAGACCAAAGAAAGCAGAAAGGGTGGGTGAATTGAAGGCGAGCATAACGTCGAAGTCGTAAAAGTGGAAAACAATAGAAGAAATAAGAAGAAATAAAAAGCAGAAGAGAGAAACCGAAACAACACGGACACCCACAAACGGGGGAAGAGAAGAAGAATGGTTGCATCACCGTTGGGACGCCGGTATATATGGGATGGAGAGGAGTTACGAAGCTGTGCGTCGCATGTAAAGGGCGCTCCTCGCTTGCATCCTATCACCGCGCGCTTTGAGGACAAGTTGAGTGTTCCGATGTTGAACACCGCCGGCTCATAGGGGTAACGGACTTGCTATGCCTGGAGTAACGGGTCCGCCAGATATCAATCGGCGACGTCTTTGATCGTCGGTAGCACACGAGGGCCGGGAGGTTTGAATGGGCACCGCCGCTCGTCCATCACTCATCCACATGAGCGCGATCTGAGGTTTACAGCACTCAGCTCCATCGAGCGTGACGCGATCCCAAGCAGTCTGGTTCGTACACGACATATGGATCTGCGCTTGTAGCGGTATGTTTGTGAGTTAAACTCGTTTGATGAGTTAGCGGAAGCGCTGGCAGATGCTCCACCTTGAACATCTTGACCAAGGCTGTGTTCGGGCGAATTTGGTGAAATGATCGGAACACCCTGTAGGCACAGGTAATATCATGAGGCCCGAGGGGCCTCGAGTCGAGTATACAAGCATAAATGACAGTAAACAGCTGACGATCTAATTGGACCCTAAGATTGAGAAGGAGGATTTACTCCGGTACCTTTACAAGTTCTTGCGCGCCTTTGGGTCTTTCGAATAGGACTCCATCGCGTGGTTGGCGTTCGTGTACTAGTATCCGCTCAGTCAGGGTGAAATGGAAGGGTCACAGCGTGAACGTACCCATTGGATGAAGTCTCGCATGAAGCTTGGAACCAAAGGGAGGTAAGGCGCGAAGTTGACATAGAACGGCAGGTAGATGTCTTGCGAGAACTGTGAATCAAGGGCTGCGATGACCGCCTTCGCCACTGAGATCGGCGCCAAAGCGGGCATCATGAACTTGCAAAGCCAGTTCCTTCCCAGGTCGATGGTATTGAACATAGGCGTTAAGACATGACCAGGGCAAACGAGAGTTGTGCGGACGCCCGGAGCGTTGTAACTGCACAACATTAGGTCAGCTTGTGGGACACATTCTGACGGATCGCGACTCACCGGGTGTCGAGCTCGTAGCGCAGAGACTCGTTCAGCGAGATAAGTGCCGCTTTGGATGCATTGTAGTCACCTGAGAACCGTGAGAAACGGCGCATCTACCGTGCAACAAATGATCACCCACTGGTTTGTGCGACCCCAAGCATTCCCAGGACAGATGACATGGTCACCTACACACAGGATCAGCCCTGCATACGTATACTATATTTGGTATCGAAACTCACGATATGTCCGCTCTTCTGTTTGATCATCTCAGGGAGGAAGGCCTTGAGTGTATGGAAATGCCCGATCGTATTCACGCCGAACGTCCTGATGAACGGGTCAGTCGAGATAGACAAGAAGCATGGAGGGTCGTACTGTTGTAATTCCTCCGGCGAGAGATCGAGAAGTAGTTTACCCTGAACGACACCGGCATTGTTGATGAGTATCGTTGGGTGCCCGAGCTAACGCGTGCAGCAGATCAGCTTGACAGATTCGCATCGCTTGAATAGGCGCTGACCTCCTCAACGATCTTCTTCTGCACCGCCTCAACGTCTTCCCATTTTGAGACGTCGCAAGGATAGAACGTGATGTTGTCTTTTAAAGGAGCCCATGAGCGTGGGTGACATGCGCAGGTCATTGGGAAAGCCTACAGTTCTCGGTCACGATAGGCTTCACGTCTAGAACCACGACCGTCACATTCCGGACTGCGAGGGTATTTGCGATGAGTTCGCCGATCCCCGAAGAGCCTGCGGGGCCGTGTAAGCATTCACTGCATCCCAGAATTACGATGCTTGCGCTCCTACCGCCGGTCACAACGACGATCTGTTCTCCCCAGTCCAGAGCACCGGGGCTAAAGAACAGGCTACCTTGGTTGCGGTACAGTAGAGAAAGCCACTGGAATGACCCTGATACACATTCAGTATTCGGCGAAGTTCAAGGCCGAGTTCGCTCACAGAATAACGCGGTCGTGATGGCCCAGGCGACCGGCACAAGGACAACTGCACTCTTTGGGCTATAGCCCTGGAAGACGAAGAACGTAGGAACAAGGGACATGAAGAAGGGACCTTCGCGGGTCAGTCATAGAGAGTGCAAAAATCCTGCACAGTTTGCGTACTGAAGATGGTATGTTTCGCAACCTTCATGACCAGATCTATGTCGAAGGCGTCGAAGACCTCGCCACCCCTCATCTCAGGTTGTGCGCTCATGATGGGCAGAAGAATAGAGATAAATATAAGCAAGTAGAGCTATCCAGTAGCTTCAGAGAGTATCGCAAGCGGTAGAAATACTATAGGACAAGCAGTATGTGCTTGGAGCAAGAATCGAAGGAAGAGAGTGGTTAGAAGTTAAGATCGTAGTCGCGCGAGCGGACGCGACGCGCTTCGGCAGGGACACGTCCGTCCGTTCGGCCGCAGCCAGGCCACGCTTCGCCACATCAACGGATCAACGTCGGCCAGGAACCTGCTTCCCCACTTCAATTGCGTGCCCTTGCCACATCGCCGACTTGGTACCTCCCCTCATGCCTCCTCGCGCTCAGAAGAGGAAGGTCAGCGCGCCGAAAGCGGCAGAGCCGCGCCGCGCAACGGCTACACCCGCTACAACCCCTCGCGCACCTGCGCCGAGAGGGCCTGCCCAACCTCCCAAGACAGATGCTAAATCTGCTGCCTATATCTTGCTTGCTTTCCCGATGCTGGGGACTATTGCGGCATGCTCGCTAGCCACTTGGGCGTATAAACGCGCTTTGGATCCATTATATGGCAGTATCCCGACTGACATACACCTTACCAAGGCTGTCTGGGTCGGTGAGTGCTCCCTTACGCTCCTATTCGGTCTTCATACTGAGCTGCATGCCATAGGAACTGGTATCGGCGGGTTCCTCATCCCTAAATCCTGGATATCGGGCTGGACCTCATCGTTTCTTCTCGGTATCTCTGTTGCTACGATGCCGACCCTGGCACATCATGCCGCCATCTTCACCGGTGAAAGGCTGCACGATGCTCTGCTTGGACCCATCGCCACACATGCTATTGCGCTTGTCCCCTCTGTGATCTTTGGTGTATCTACCATTAAAACTATGGTCGTAAGTACCAAGACAAATCCTTTTTAGGCTTCACTGAGCTTACTCGCCCCTTAGCACTTCTTCGAGGAAGCTAACGAGGGCACAATGATGCGCTACACGTTACTTCCAGGATGTGCTTCAATCATCCCTGGTTTTGCGCCGGTATGGACAGATACACTACCGCTGCTCTTGAACATCCCTGAGGTGGCGCAGTGGATACCGTCTGAGTCTGCGCTGGTGAGAGCTTTCTCGTTGGAGTGCTCATGCCCTCAAGCTTACGCAGAATAGGTCGTTGCGGTAGGCGCATTGATCGTCAGCATATGGGCTATCAGTCTCGCCTTCCGCTCAGGTAATGCTCGGGACCCCACCGCGACATACCAGTTGACATGGCACATTCTCGTACCGGCAATGATCCTGCCTTTACTGCCAATGATCCTTCCCCAGCTGCTTCCTCCCACGTTGCCGCACCCTCTTCCGGCACCCTACGACGTCCCCGACTTCCCTTTGCGCATCCTATCTTCAGTCGAATCGTTGACGGGACTGGTGGTCGTTGGCGAGTCGCTACCTGTGGCGGACTCGAAGCCTGGCGTACGCGAGGAATACCCCTCGGAGATGCGCTACTTGCGCACGGCGCACTCTATCCTCGGTGGAACTTGGGTCGGCAACAAGGTAGCGCGCGCCCCTGGCACTGCGGATGTGGACGCGTTTGGTGCCCCGCTCGGCGATTCCATCTACAATGCCTTCCTCGTACAAGAGGCAATCCGGCTTGTGGACACGAAGGACCGCGACATCACGCCTGGACAAGAGAACGCCCTCATCATGTATGTCCGATCACCAGCTTCCCTTGCATCACACTCATGAAGTCGTTCAGTGGACTTGGTGTGGGTATTGCCGCCACAGCGCTCACAAGGCACGGTGTCACGCCGACTATCATCGAGATCGACCCCGCTGTCTACAATGCCTCCTTGACGTGGTTCGGACTGCCCGAGCCTACGCCCGAGCGTCTCTTCCTGATGGACGGCCGCCGCGTCGTCCGGAAGAAACTTCACGAGCACATGAGCAAGATCACGGACGAGCCCTTGTACGACTATGTGATCCACGACTGCTTCTCCGGCGGCGGCGTACCCGCGCATCTCTACACGACTGAGTTCTGGGGCGAGCTCAAGGGCATCATGAAGCCGGATGGCGTCGTTGCAGTGGTCAGTCTCAAACCTCGGTATATACCTGAGCAGTGTATTGATGATGATGTAGAACTATGCCGGTCTTGTTGGCGGCGACGCGTCGCGATCCGTGCTCATGACTTTGGAAGCGAGCTTTGGACAATGTCGCGTTTTCCATGACTCCATGACCCCGGTCACGGACGAGGAATTGACGTCCGACTTCCGCAACCTAGTACGCATTCACTCCCTCCTCAGCCTCTTACAACCAGTTACTGAGACGCGTCATAGATCATCTTCTGCTCTCCGTCTACGAAGCCCTTGACCTTCCGCCCCGCTGCAGCGGCAGACTATCTCGGATCGCCTCTGCGCGAGCGCGTACTTGGTACCTTTGGGTCGAAATGGGAGGTGAATGCGCATGTCGTTCGCGGCGATTTGGAGGGACAGGATAGCTCCAAATGGATTTTGAAGGACCAGCCGAACCATCTTGCCGAGTGGCAGAAGCCTGCTGCGTTCAAGCACTGGAAAAGTATGTGGTTCACGTCCATTGAAACTATACCATGCTCACGGTAGATACAGTTATGCGGGACATCTTGCCAGAGGTCTTTTGGACGACATTCTAGGCTACGTTATTCCTACAAGGGACTGCGGGGAGCTGAGGTTGCGAAGGAATCTGTATGGAAGTGCTTGATCAAATACTTGTAGCATGCACGTACTAGCACAGCCTATTGTACCAAAACAAGATACTGGGGATTGCGAATGTATCGCGTTGTATGACGACCGTGCGTGGGAGGGCGCTGATGGATGTTGAATGCAAGCGCCACCCTGTCCAACACGCGTTCAGCTGCTGGTTCAACGCGACACGGTCTCACGAACGTCCGCGCGAACCACCGTGTCCTTGACATTCGAACCCGCCGTCCTTTGAAGTATCCTATCCTGCAGATCCCGCTTTTGTCTCTATAGGACTAAGCCACTGAACAACCGTCCACCCGGAATCTGAACTTTGTCTGTGCACGCCGAGGGATATATGAGTGACCATCTCCGCCTCGCGTCCTCGCCACAACGCGTGTCTTCGGTGTCTCGGCCACATTGGCCTTGGGCTTCGTACCACCACTCTTCTCAATCTTCCATATCCACCAACTCTACCGGTACGGCTGGAGGACAGACTCCTGCCTCTTGGGAAAGCCGGTCCTTCGCTTCTCCTGCATCGACTTCTGTCTTGCCCGCTCCCAGTCCCACATCCCGACCCGCGCCACCGGCTTCCATGGCGACGGCTGTACCTTACGGTGGAGAGTCCATGAGACATTGGCAGTTTACTGTGAGTAGTTCTCTTTCAGACAGGTTGCAGGTACTAATAGCACGGCCAACCAGGCCTTTGAATGGGTGGCGCGAGATGTACAGAAACTACGCGAATATGTGGAGAGCCCAGAGTTCGCCGAACGAGCCGTTGGCGAGAACGCTGATGCGAACGAGGATTTTGAGGTCTTGCGCGAGTCGCCTGTACTTGGAGATGGGAAGTTCAAACTGGAAATAGGTCCGCACCACGAGCCTTCACCCATCGCCACATACTGATGATCAGTGAAGCGCGCACGCAGAACCGCGACCTGGAGTTTGGCACGTCCACAGAGCAGACAACACTATCGCTTTACCTCACATGTCTTACACTCGATTATCCCACCGCGGACTACGAGATTGGCGCATCTATGATGGCAGCTATCAAGTGCCAGGACGATGTGGTTGGCGAACGTGGAGCACGAGCGGACTGGGCGTGGGATACATGGCAGAGTGAATGGACGTTTAGGCAGGGAAACGAAGTGTGGCGTGCGTATAACTTTACGGCCCTCACCGAGAAGGCTATACTCATCCCCAATATCCTTCGCAGAATGCCCGCTTCCTCCATTATCGTCACTTTTGGAGAACCCTCGCATACAGAAGACCGACTCATTCGTCATATGTGTGCAGATCCATAGTCCAGTGGGACCGTTCTTTCCTACGCATCCAGCCGCGTACTACGTGCCGAAGGACTTACTGGAGGGGCTTGAGTCTTCTCTCGACAATGCCAGTCAGTCAACTTCCGTCTTTGCTTCGGAGGGTCTCGACATGCTGACGAACCCGCAGACACCGGCGATGTGCGCTTCATCTGCCTGGAACGCATGCCTGCGCAACAACCAGGTGCTCCATCGCCAACACCTCCGCACAGCGCGACGTCGCAGAGCAGGCGTTCGTCTTCATCATCATCGCATTCGTTCCCGGCGCATACGACGGCAAGGAAACGTGTCATCTATGCGCATTCAGATATCCTTTCACGACGCTCCGACTACTTCGCCACCATGTTGTCCTCGACCTTCGCCGAGGCAAGTGCACACAGCTCAGACCGCAAACTGCACACCATCGTTGTCGAGGAAGCGGACTTCGTGACAATATACTGGTTGCTGAAATGGGTCTACGCCAACTGGCTTATGTTCGCCGACGAGGATGATCCTCGCGCAGCAGTCGAAGGCCTCGGCGCAGGCTGGAGTGCGAAGTGGTTGCAGTCCTCTGGCATCTCTGGAGAGTGGGACTGGAAGACCTTCAACAAGGCACATCCCCTCAACGAGTTCCACGACGAGCTGCGCAGTGCCACCAGCGGCGAGAGCATTCACTCAGCCGTCGGTGAACAGGCCAAAGTCGAGACAAGACCTCGCGGTGGTCCAGCTGCACCCGGCCCATCGAAGTCCATGACGACGCAGCCGCAGACGGCTGTGCGTCCTGGAGCGACAGCAGCATCTGGACCTTCGCGTAGGGTCACAGGTCCTGCTCTGAACACATCGCAGTCTGGTGCTCCAAGTCGGACCAAACCAGTGCCCATTCCTGGCGCGCCTCCTTCGCACTACCCATTGTCACCTCGAGCACACCGTCCTCCCGTAATACCGAGCGTCGATCCGCACCCGCACCCAACGCCTGCGCCCCCGCCGGCATCGGCGCTATCGGTGTATCAAGTCGCACATCGTTACGGGATGCCTGGACTCGCCGCGCTCGCTCTGGAGCATATCATGTCGACTATCACGCCTCAGTCTAGCTTTGCGCTGTTGCTTGCATCGTCGATTTGGGATGAGCTCCATCTGTTGGTTGAAGACTACATTGTTGAGAAATGGGAGGATGTGTCGACATCGGAGGAGTTTGAGCGGTGCTGCGAGGAAGTCGCCGCCGGAGAGTAAGTGAAAGTATCATGTTGTTTTGATGCTTGCATGCTGACTACGCTTTTTCCTAGCTGGGGCTCAGATGGCGGCAAGACCCTCATGGCGTTGTTCAGGCGCTTGCGGTCCCCGGCCGCTTACACGCGCGGCTGAGCCGCGTGAGTTACTCATGGACTCGGATATGTTGGGACATTTAGTGGAAACATTGTACTCTAGACACTTCGTATGGATCTATCACTCTCCGAAAATCCCTTCAGGAAACAAGCCATGCCATGTATAGGTAATTTGCCTTGTGATGCACGCTGTTGCGGGAGGCGGCGCTCGGTCATGATAGTACCACGTTCGTTGTCTCCCGCCATCATGATGACCAGCATGTGAACACCCAGAGTACGCCGACCTTCCTGAGAAGTGGCCATAACGCCTTTACTGGATCATGCTCGGTCAAAGCGAGCAAAGTAACGGCAAGGGCGCTCACAATGTGAGCGTCCACCGGTGAAAATGCTTGCTGTGGTACGCGTCGGAAACTCCCGCACACTTCGCCGAGCGTGTTGGCGACTCCTCTGCCGGAATATCCTCGATGCATCTCGAAACGGCAGCTGCACGTACACGGTCGCCATAACAGCGTCTAGACTACTGAACATCTGCCCGTAGGCCCATTTCCGGGCGCTCGGCGAGAACGGACATTAGGGCATTGCCGCTTCGAAGCGGGAAGGTTGCAGCGTTGTCCTCGACATAACCATATGCTATCGGTAAAGTCGCGTTTCTCTGGACCCTTACGCTCGGCATGGTCGTTCCCTTTCATCGAGGGTCGTCGTTGAGGGACGCTGTGATGTCTCCGTTCTCCAGCCCGCTCAGTCAGCCAGCCTCCATAGAACATTGCACTCGAGGCGGCGATACATCTCCCATCTACCCCTTCAGAAGCTGTCGAAGGCCGTAATGCCAGCTTTGCCGCACTGACGGAGCCACTGGCGCTACTCCTCGCGCTCCTCTTGGCTTTAGCTGAACAAGCGTCAGTCATGCAACAGACTCTCCGCTGACCCCATATTAGTAACCGATGCCGTTGTTAGGCGCAGTCTGCCATAGCGAGTGTCCACCTCCCCCCACCTTCCCAATTACTTCACCGAGTCACAAACTGGCAGGTACAGCGTCATGATATAAGTACACCCCTGCTCGTTCGGTCATCCCCCATCTCGCTTTCAACTCACTCCACCAACTCAATCTCGGTCTTCACTCGTCTAACTTACCGTGCTGGTCATGGACGCCTACCCCCGCCACCGCTTGCGCCTGCTCCCCCTCAGCAACAACGCGCACGCCTTCGAGTTCACCCCCGAAGAGCGCAACTTCGTACCAAACACCGAACCAATCGCGATAGGCTCGGGCGAGACCTTCAAGCACGTCTCGTTCGGCTGCAGCAAGCTCGCCCGCACACATGCACGCGTCTGGTGTGACGACATGGGCGACTTCTTCATCAGGTTCGTCTTTGGCTGCGCTCTGTCAAAAGATGTATCGATCTGACCCCAGCCCTTCGCTTCTCCAGCCCAGAGGCCGATGGAGCCGAGATGAATGGCAAGACCCTCGCGGCGAGGCAGTCGTACGAACTCCGCGACGGTTCCGATATCTCGTTCGCTGTCAGAGATGTGAATGGCGAGAACCTTGCGCCGGTCAAGATGCGCATCGCCATCGACCTTGGGTCTCCGAGCTCGGAGTCGGGAGCGAGCTCTGACGCGGAGAGCGAGAAGGCTGCGGTGAAGGCGGTGTAAAGAGCTATTCGGAGAAGACTGGAAGAATGGTGGGAACTCAAACGGACTGTGTATCATTATCCATGCTGTATGCCATTCTCGTTCGGCACTGTACGTCCCATAAGCGCCTGTATGCACTCGTGTGTCAGTTACGCATGGGTTGAACAACTTATGTGCTTGATGCACGCGAGGTATCTCGGATGAAGGGCCGAATGCGTCGCATCTTGTGCTCTATGAAGGAAGGGCGGGTCTAGTACATTATACAGATACAGATGGCAACGTGAAGGGTTGGTGACTACCAGAGCTTCATCTTGGATGGCCTGTTCATATGCATTAGTAGCCACATACAGCGCCGTCCTTGTGAAGTACGTACCTCACGCGAACCATCACTGCCGCTAATACAACAGCCGACCCTACCCCATATATGATCAAGCGCACGGATGCTGGGAGAAGCTTCTGAGCCCAATGGGATGCACCGCCGAGAGCAGTGGTCACCATGAGCAGAGGGAAGAGGATGTAACCGGAAAGTCTATGTAACGTATAAGTGGCGCCCACCCGACACTAGACCATGGCATGTACACACCGATGGTATTTCCACATCAACTTGGGCTTCAGACCTCCACCAAAAGCTGCTCCACCAAACCACACAGTTGCGCCTCCGAATGCGGCCTGGACGGCCAACCATGCGTATATTGCTATGCCGATAGTCTAGCGATATACTCAGCAGAGCTCAAGGACAATTATCAGCAAGAACGTACGCCGTGCCATGAGCGGAAGTGTGCCTTGTGATTTAGGGTCTTATGCAGGACGATAGCCAGCGTTCCGAGTGTTACGAAGGCGAGAGCCGGTAGTGCAAGTAGCTGGTGTCTAGCGAGTCCTGTCGCCTTCGTGGAGGCTTGTGAAGTGGGCTGTAGCACGACAATGGCTGTGAGTTAGGTTAGCTTTTCCAATGTAAGGACTTCAAGGTGAAGGCTGACCCGGCACAATAAGCAGCAGGGCTATGGGGTTAAGGATGATATGTGCGGACACCCAAGGTAATTTCCATGGCTCGTCAAAGATTACGAGTGCGATTGAGACCAGTGAAATGAGCTACAGGACCAATTAGGGATGATAAGGACGTATGAAGTACGACATACCGCAATGCCTATCTGATAAGATAGTGTTCAGCTTCGAACAATGGCGAACTTGTGGTGCGCACGTACGCATGCGGCGTACATCGCCACCGTATCCCCCAGTCTATGCTCAGACTTGACCAGTCCATCGTCTACGACCAGCGGCGCGATCCTTTCGCCCTCAGGCGCAGGCGCATCTGGTTCGGTAGGCAACGCCTTGTACGGTCTGCGCTCGCGCATGAGTTCGGTGTTCCTGGTCAAGCGTCGAAGAAGACGAAATGTACGCGTTGTCAGCCATCACCGAGGGAAGTGGTGGTCGGCGCTTGATGAGTGTCGGCGGTACACGGACGCGACGGGCGCAAAGATATGCATGAGAACCGGAAGCTTCAAGTCCAAAATAGTGTGGCGGCGGCTTGTTGATCAGGGGCTCTCGAAACGTGCGTCGAAGAGGCTCAAGGCGCGCGTCTTGGCCCACGACCATCACCACTATGGTCAAGTTGGTCGCGTCCCTCATGATACTCCTTGCATGCACCTGATTCTAGCCGATTGTCTGTAAGGTTTCACACGTTTTCCGGCCCGATTCTTTTGCAAGGCCTTACAGGTAGCCCGCTTCTTCGCGGGTTCGCGAACTTTTCAACAACCCCGGCGGCTCACAGCGCTAAGTCGCTGCAGTCCTCTGTCGCCCGCGCGCCTCGGCGTTCCCCGGCCTCCCCGCGCGCCGGCGGCCGCCGACGCACTGTGTCACGCCGCCTCCGTCGCCCGCCGCGGCGTGCTCGCTGTGTCACACAGCGAGCTCGCATACCTCGCCAACCACCGCCTCCTATCGCTAACATGTATATATGTACGGACTCGTATTAAATAGGGGAGCATGATGGTGTACTTTATATAGTCAAATGTATCCAGTAACTAGAGAAAATGAGATAACGCTTTTTTTGCCTGCCAGACTATTGCCGGTACTGGTAGATAGAGATACAGTACGGCTAATCGCCGCGGTGAAGTCGTAGAGATTACATATAAGTATTTGATTCTGAATTTTGTCTGAGCAGAAAACCTCTATGTATTGCAGAGACGCAATCTGAGTGGTGGAGCCTGAAGGAGGAGGAGCAGGTAGCTAGTACTCGATAACCTGCGGATAGATTTCTATGGCGCTTACATATAATCTATATGCATGCTCCCCTGTTACATTCCACTACTCAGAGTTGCTGTACGGCTATTTCCCACGGTAAGCGTTACACTTCTTTAATTTTGCGCTTCCCCCCCTTCATCTGATTACCACAGTAGATGCACGTCAGCTATAGCCACAGCGTGTGGCCCAGTGAATACTGGTGTATGGTATAGACCTTCTGGTGCTCTCAGAGTAGAGCCGTGAGCTGCAGTACATGTATAGTACCGCTTT